TTCTGTCTAGTCCAATACCACCAGAGAAACTGCATATACTGTATTACTGGGGCCAACCAGAGAAAAACACTCCTTTCATATGCCTTCACTCATAAGTAGTGTCATTCACTCTCAAAAGGGTGTGTTGCATGAGCCTGGGAGTGTTGCTGTTATACAGGCTACTGCATTAATATGTAAAGATAATTTGTACATAATGTACTATGTTTGTATTGTGGGAAAAATGCTCCATAATTTTTTGTTTTAACACAATAGCAATTTCCTACTGAGGCAGGGTGACCCAAAAAGAAAGAAAATCCGAAAAGAAAGAAAAAACTTTCATCATCATTCAACACTTTCACTATCACTCATACATAATCAATGTTTTTGCAGAGGTACTCAGGCACAACAGCTTAGACGTCCCACCAAACTGCCAAAATCCCAAATCCCTCCTTTAAAGTGCTGGCATTGTAATTCCTATTTCCATGACTCAAAGTCCGGCTAACCAGTTTCCCTGGACCCCTTCACAAACTATTACCCAACTCACACTCCAACAGCTCATCAGGCCCCAAAAACTATTTGTCTCCATTCACTCCTATCTAACATGCTCACAAAATCTTCTTTACCCCCTCCTCAAATCTTTTTGGGGATGACCCCTACCCCTCCTTCCTTTCCCTACAGATTTATACGCTCTCCAAGTCATTCTATTTTGATCCATTCTCTCTAAATGGCCCAATTACCTCAACAACCCCTCTTCAGCCCTCTGACTAATACTTTTAGTAACTCCACAACTCCTCCTAATTTCCACACTGCGAATTCTCTGCATAATATTTACACCACACATTGCCCTTAGACAGGATATCTCCACTGCCTCCAGGCGCCTCCTCGCTGCAGCATTTACAACCCAAGCTTCACACCCATATAAGAGTATTGGTACCACTATACTTTCATACAGTCCTTTCTTTGCCTTCATGGATAACGTTTTTGTCTCCACAGATATCTCAATGCACCACTCACCTTTTTTCCTCCATCAATTCTATGGTTAACCTCATTCTTTATAAACCCATCTGCTGAAAAGTCAACTCCCAAATATCTGAAAATATTTACTTCTTCCATACTCCCTCTCTCCAATATGATATCCAATTTTTGTTTATCTAAATTATTTGATACCCTCATCACTTTACTCTTATCTATGTTCACTTTCAACTTTCTACCTTTACACACACTCCCAAACTCATCCACTAACATTTACAACTTTTCTTTAGAATCTCCCATAAGCACAGTATCATCAGCAAAAAGTAACTGTGTCACCTCCCATTCTGTACTTGCTTCCCCATAATTTAATCCCACCCCTCTCCCCAACACCCTAGTATTTACTTCTTTTACAACCCCATCTATAAATATATTAAACAACCATGGTGATATTACACATCCTTGACTAAGACCTACTTTCACCAGGAAGTAATCTCCCTCTCTCCTACATACCCTAGCATAAGCCTCACTATCCTCATAGAAACTCTTTACAGCATTTAGTAACTTACTACCTATTCAATACACTTGCAACATCTGCCACATTGTTCCCCTATCCACTCTATCATATGCCTTTTCTAAATCCATAAATGCAATGAAAACTTCCCTACCTTTATCTAAATACTGTTCACATATAAGCGTCTATGTAAACTCTTGATCTACACATCCTCTACCCACTCCAAAGCCTCCTTGCTCATCTGCAATCCTACTCCAATAATAACCCTACTGTACACTTTACCTGGTATACTCTGTAAACTTATTCCCCTATAATTTTTACAATCTCTTTTGTCCCCCTTCCCTTTATATAAAGGAACTATATACACTCTGCAAATCTCTAGGTACCTTCCCCTCCTTCATACATTTATTAAGCAAAAATACCAACCACTCTAATGTCCCTGTTTTTAATATTTCTGTCATGATCTCACCAGTTCCAGCTGCTTTATCCCCTTTCATTCTACATAATGCCTCACGTACCTCCCCCACACTCACATCCTGCTCTTCTTCACTCCTAAAAGATGTTATTCCTCCCTGGCCATTGCATGAAATTACTGCCTCCCTTTCTTCATCAACATTTAAAAGTTCCTCAAAATATTCCTGCCATCTACCCAATACCTCCAGCTCTCCATCTACTAACTTTCCTACTCTGTTTTTATCTGACAAATTCATTCATTCCCTAGACCTTCTTAACTCGTTTATCTTACTCCAAATTTTTTTTTATTTTCAGCAAAATTTCTTGACAGTACCTCTCTCAAAATAAACACATGCACACACACACACACACACACACACATACATTTATTCTGAAGGCCCCAACTTTTTGATAGAATGCTTCTATTGTAAGTAAATGCTTACATTAAAATATAATATAGTTTTCAAATATTATTTCATTAAAATTATATTTTCTAAAACAATATTGAAAACATTTAACACTGATGCTACAGGTAGTTAAAAACACAATTATATACAGCATATTTTCTTACCTTGAGGAACTTTTGAAAGCATTAAATAGAATAGACTCATCAATTCACTCTTGAGAAATATGATGTTTAAGGTTTTCACTGCATGATACACAAGCTCAATTTAACAAATTTATTAACAAGCTGGTAGGTACATGTGCTCTAACATTACTAGAACAAGAAATATATCACACCCATTAATGAGATCAATTTTCCATAAAATGTATTTAACAATCATGCCCTAAACATCATATTTTCACAATATCCTTATAACTATTGAAGTACTCAGAAATGTTGTATGTGTGAGATTAAATTCAAATGCAAATATTTTGTAGGTTAATGAAAAAAGTAATACAGAACTAACTCATTTATCTAATTACATGAGTAAACAGTCATTAAAAAATCAAGGTAATAATTCATATAGCATCTGTACATCTATTTGTTTTTAAATCAAGATTAAACTTCATATTACATCTGTTTATCTATTTTTATGGCAGACTTCTCACGAATTAGCATACACAGAATTTTATCACTCTGATCAAGCTTTTTTGAATCAGTTAAAGCTTTCTTATAGTAGCCTTCCTCTTAAGACAGTTAATTTTCTGTTATCTAATAAGTTAGTACGCTACACAGCATTAAATAGAAATAGGTTACAAAGAAAAAATGTTTTTAAATCAAGTACACACAACATCCCTGAGCTGAGGCACAAGTAATGAGTACAACAACAACAACAATGAGAGAGAGAACATTCTCAACAAGTTACTGCTGACCACAGTCATAAAGATGAGACTGAAGATAACTTGACTGTAACAGTGTGAAGTAAACCTATAAATGTATCTAATCAAACAAATAATATTTATATTGCATTTACTTTCAGAAGATTATTTAGCACATGTTTAAATGTGTATGTACATATGCATGTATATATGAATATAGTATGAACAGAGTGAGAATGTGTGTGTGTGTGTGTGTGTGTGTGTGTGTGTGTGTGTGTGTGTGTGTGTGTGTGTGTGTGTGTGTGTGTGTGTGTGGTGTTGTATGTATTATGTATGTATGTATGTATGTATGTGTATATATATATATATATATATATATTATATATATATATATATATATATATATATATATATATATATACATATATAATATATATAAATATATATAAATATATATATATAAATATATAAATATATATATATATATATATATATATATATATATATATATATATATATATATATATATATATATATATATATATATATATATATATAAAAGCAGAGTGAAAATTTTGTTTATGCAATGAATTTGTGAAAATATGCCTGACCTTAATGAAAATAATACATAATACTGATTTTAAAGTAATATTAAATAAATATAAAGTGATCTAAGATATATTTAATATAATTTGGTTTAAAAAAATTGCATTAGGTTAGCTGAGGTCTTTAAGTAGGTTTTTAGGGTAGTTCACACACACACATGCACAAACACACACACGGACACACATACAGCATGAACGTCAAACACACACATGGACACGCACACACACATACAAAATCGGCCTGATGACACTGGAGGACAGGAGGGTTAGGGGAGGCATGATAACGACATACAAAATACTGCAAGGAATTCACAAGGTGGAGAGACAGGATGTTCCAGAGATGGGGCACAGAAACAAGGGACCACAATTGGAAGTTGAAGACTCAGATGAGTCAGAGAGATGTTAGGAAGCATTTCTTTAATCACAGAGTTGTCCAGAAGTGGAACATTCTGGCAAGCGATGTAGTGGAGGCAGGAACCATACATAGTTTTAATATGAGGTATGATAAAGCTCACTGAGCAGGGTGAGAGAGGACCTAGTAGTGATCAGTGAAGAGGCAGGGCCAGGAGCTATGTCTTGACCCCTGCAACCACAAATAGGTGAATACATGCATACACAGACACACATGCACGAACACACACATGGACACACTTGCACGAACATCGAACACACACACACGGACACACAGATACATGCACGAACACACACACAAATACAAACACACACACACACACACAAATACGTACAAATACACACACACACACACACACAATATCTTGTATACAGTATATATTTTAAAGATATATTCAAAATAAAAACTTATATGAAGTTAGAGAAGACATTAACATGGGTTTCAAAATCTGAAAAAAACAGAATGATAATGCAAGATTTCTTTGTTGCTTTTCGCAGTATCTTGACCTAATGCAATTTTGAGATACCATTTATTGTCACAAAACATTGATTCAGATCTTTCTTTGGTATGATTTGAGTATTAATACAATATTGCAAGATTGTCAATAGGTAAGGATGAACTGCCTTAATCTCTCTCCATTAGTTCATAGACTGGAGCACTATTAATACGAGTCCCAAAAGTGTAGTGAGAAGGAAATGAACATTTGAAAAATATAATTTGGAAGCCTCAGAGGACTGATAAAGGGTTGGAGAAGACGGGGTGTTGGTAGGGGTGTAGGGATGAGTACTAAGGTACCAAGACTTACTCTGCTGGATGCTCTGGTCATCAGGGTATGTTTTCAGGCTCAGAGAGTCTGTTTCTGAAAAGTATAAAAGAAGTATTTTAATTTATGTCAAGTGTAATAAAAAATTTTCAAATAAAATGTCTAATCAATGCTTGAGACTAACATTAATTAATTATGTCTTGTGCCATTTTCTGAAAATTTAGTTCATGATCATCCACTTTTATTTAAACCAGTTCTTTATGAGGTACACTGAAACATGTCCATATACTGAGGATACTACTCAAATTATCCTTGTAAGTGATGATTTAAACCTCAAACGTAGGTCTCAGACCGGGCCGCGGGGGCGTTGACCCCCGGAACTCTCTCCAGGTAAACTCCAGGTATGGAAAAACAAAGTTATCCTATCCTGTAGTAACTCTTTAAGGAAAATGTTATAAAAAGTTCAATTAACAGATATACCTTGCCTTTTCACTGCTTTCTCCTTGTTACAATTCCTTAAGTACTTTTGTTATTAACCCTACAGTCTGTAAAAGAAACTATGGAGAGATTTATAAATTCTGCTATATTTACTATACCTGCTTTATTTACTGTAGCTGTTTCTAAGACATTTTTCCTCTTCAACATTTCTTGAAATCTTTTATGCTTTTTGAGATGTGATGCTTTTTAAATGCACGTATCTATATAGGGACCCGAACAATTTCTAATAAACAATTTCAATATTGGCTTTGTGGAACATTTAAAGACTGTTTTCCACTACTGTTAATTTTTAACAAATGATAAATTATTAATAAATACTACATAATAAAAGTATTAAATATAAAATTCACTTACATAAAATAAACATGCAAATACTTGCAAAATTAGATTATGAATTTTTATATATTGTAAATGATTGCAAATTACATGGACTCAAGTAAATGAAGTAATTAAAGCATCAACAGAGTAAATTTATGTTAAAGAACAGTTATACTTGCAATTCTAGGTGTGTGAGAGGCAGAGTGTAACTTTGCACATCTCCCACTTTTATTTTCAACCATGGATGCTATCACATGTGAAGCATAATTAACAGGTCTGTTTCAAATCCTGGAAAATTAGATAACTAGTGTCCTGTAGCTCGATTGCTAGCGCACTAAACTCACGCACTGAGGTCCAGGGGTCGATTCCCGGGACGGATGGAAAACATTAGGATGAGTTTCCATAAGACACCTGATATCCAATGTTCACCCATTAGTAAAATGGGTACCTGGGTGTTAGTCGACTAGTGTGGGTCGCATCCTGGGACAGAAATTGGCTTAATTTGCCTGAAATGCTCTACATAACAAGGGGCATTCTATATAGTTGTATGTCACTGATGCCATCTAGGCCTGTATACCTTGTACATGTACTTGTAGAAATAAAGATTATTATTAGTAATAATTTTTTTGTTTTTAACACGTCAGACATTTCTCACCAGGGCAGGGTGAACCAAAAGAAAAAAAAAAACCAAAAACAAAGATAAAAACTTTCATCAGCAGTCAACACTTTCACCATCATTTATACATAATCACTGTTTTTGCAGAGGCGCCCAGATACGACAGTTTGGATAGTCACTCCAAACTGCCAATATCCCAAACCCCTCCTTTAAAGTGTAGGCACTATACTTCCCATTTCCAGGACTCATGTCCAGCTAACCAGTTCCCCTAAATCCCTTCACAAAATATTACCCTGCTCACAATCCAACAGCTCGTCAGGTCCCAAAAATCATTCATCTCCATGCAATCCTATCTAACACGCTCACGCAGGCTTGCTGGAAATCCAGCCCTTCGCCTATAAAACCTCCTTTACCCACTCCCTCCAACATTTTTGAGGACAACTCCTACCCCGCCTTCCTTCCCCTAAAGATTTATACACTCTCCAAGTCATTCTACTTTGATCCATTCTCTCTAAATGACCAAACCACCTCAACAACCCCTCTTCAGCTCTCTGACTAATACTTTTAGTAACTCCACACCTTTTCCTGATTTCCACACTATGAATTCTCTGCATAATATTTGCACCACACATTGCCCTTAGACAGGACATCTCCACTGCCACCATGCGCATCTTCACTGCAGCATTTACAGTCCAAGCTTCACACCAATATAAGTGTATTGGTATCACTATACTTTCATACATTCCCTTCTTTGCCTCCAGGGATAACATTTTTTGTCTCCACAGATACCACAATGCACCACTCACCTTTTTTCCTTCATCAGTTCTATGTTTAACCTCATCCTTCATAAACCCATCCGCTGACAAGTCAACTCTCAAATATCTGAAAACATTCACTTCTTCCATAATCCCTCTCTCAAATGTGATATCCAATTTTTCTTTATCTAAATCGTTTGATACCCTCATCAACTTACTCTTATCCATGTTCACTTTCAACTTTCTACCTTTACACACCCTCCCAAACTCATCCACTAACCTTTAGCAACTTTTCTTTAGAACCACCCATAAGCACAGTATCATCAGCAAAAAGTAACTGTGTCAACTCCCACTTTGTATTTGATTCCCCATAATTTAATCCCATCCCTCTCCCCAACACCCTAGTATTTATTTCTTTTACAACTCCATCTATAAATATATTAAACAGCCATGGTGACATTACACATTCCTGTCTAAGACCTACTTTTACCAGGAAATAGTCTCCCTCTCTCCTACACACCTTAACCTGAGCTGCACTATCCTCATAAAAACTCTACAGTTTATCTTACTCCAAAAATTTTTGTTGTTCTCTGCAAAATTTCTTGATAGTGCCTCTCCCACTCTATCATTTGCTCTCCTTTTGCACTCTCTCACCACTCTCTTCACCTTTCTTATACTCTACATATACTCTGCCCTTCTTAATATCACTTCTTTGTAAAACTCTCATAATCCACCTTTCTCTCTTTTATCACACCCTTTACTTCATCATCCCACCAATCACTCCTCTTTCCTCCTGCACCTACACTCCTATAACCACAAACTTCTGCCCCACAATCTAATACTGAATTTCTAAAACTATCCCATCCCTCTTCAACCCCCCTACCACCCATACTTCCACTAGCCCACCTTTCTGCCAATAGTTGCTTATATCTCACACTAACTTCCTCCTCCCTTACTTTATAAACTTTCACCTCTCACTTACTTTTTGTTGCCCTTTTCCTTTTGTCTCATCTACCTCTTACTCTAACTGTAGCTACAACTAAATAATGATCCGATATATCTGTTGCCCCCCATAAAAACATGTACATCCTGAAGCCTACCCATCAACCTTTTATTTACCAATACATAAATTAACAAACTACTTTCATTATGTGCTATATCATACCCTGTATACTTATTTATCCTCATTTTCATAAAATATGCATTACTTATTACCAAACCTCTTTCTACACATAGTTCAATTAACTCTTTGAGGGTCCATGATGTAGATCTACGTGAAGCTTGGACTGTAAATGCTGCAGTGAAGATGCGCATGGTGGCAGTGGAGATGTCCTGTCTAAGGGCAATGTGTGGTGTAAATATTATGCAGAGAATTCATAGTGTGGAAATTAGGAAAAGGCGTGGAGTTACTAAAAGTATTAGTCAGAGAGCTGAAGAGGGGTTGTTGAGGTGGTTTGGTCATTTAGAGAGAGTGGATCAAATTAGAATGACTTGGAGAGCACATAAATCTGTAGGGAAAGGAAGGCAGGGTAGGGGTTGTCCTCAAAAATGCTGGAGGGAGGGGGTAAAGGAGGTTTTATGGACGAAGGGCTTGGATTTCCAGAAAACGTGCGTGAGCATGTTAGATAGGAGTGAATGGAGATGAATGATTTTTGGGACCTGACGAGCTGTTGGAGTATGAGCAGGGTAATATTTTGTGAAGGGATTTAGGGAAACTGATTAGCTGGACTTGAGTCCTGGAAATGGGAAGTATAATGCCTGCACTTTAAGGGAGGGGTTTGGGATATTGGCAGTCCGGAGTGACTATCTAAACTGTCGTATCTGGTCGCCTCTGCAAAGACAATGATTATGTATGAGTGATGGTGAAAGTGTTGAATGGTGATGAAAGTTTTTATCGTTGTTTTTGGGGTTTTCTTTCTTTTGGTTCACCCTGCCCTGGTGAGAAATGTCTGACGTGTTAAAAAAAAATTACTACTAATAATAATCTTTATTTCTACAAGGACATGTACAAGGTATACAGGCCTAGATGGCATCAGTGACATACAATTGTATAGAATGCCCCTTGTTATGTAGAGCATTTCAGGCAAATTAAACCAATTTCTGTCCCAGGATGCGACCCACACCAGTCGACTAACACCCAGGTACCCATTTTACTAATGGGTGAACATTGGACAACAAGCTGACGGTCCAAATCGTAGATCTACATCATGAGCTCAGATCACTCTGATAAGCTGTGAGCAGTAAATTTTGGCTTAGATATGAGAGAATACATCTATGTGGTATGTGTGCACCACAGAAAACAAATCCTGCAGCACATAGTGCATAATGAGAGGAAAAAAACTGAGATTGCAATTTTCAATTAAAACAGTGACTGCAGTGTTTTTTTCCTATGTTTTTTATAGTTGTATTTGCAATTTCTTGGTCTCAATTGATAGAATGAAAGATATATTACAGAAATAGAGATGATTTTGATTGGTTTTATTAATGGAAATGGTTTGAAACTGAGCTCAAAGTAGCAAAAATGTTAAATTTTTGCTGATGTTCAAGAGTAAACAAATGACCTCACACGTCTAATACACGTCTACTTGTGGGTCTAATATACGTTCACAAATGTGGTGATATTATTTATACAATTATTACAATATTGCATAACAGTAAATCTTCTATTTTTTTGGTTTGAATAAAAATTCATAATGCGAATAAAAAATCAAAATGGGATTCATTAGTAAAGCCTGAAAACATAACTAATGAACAGAGGAAATGTTAGTTTAGTGCCAGGAATGCCTGCATTGTTTATTCTGGACCCTATTTTGAAACTGGAGTATTTTGAACTTTGCATTAAATTGACCAAATTACCAATTTCCGATCACTTTATTTTGTAGTTGAAACAGTTGACTTGGCGAATTCTT